CTCTGCATCTACAAGTTAATTCAGTAATACTAAAATAGTTTCTACTACAAGACACGATTCGAAACACAAAAACTTACCTTGAAAATTGTTGAGAACCATTCTCTAGAACAAGCTCGCTCTACTCTCTGTTAGAAAATCTCTTAAATTGCTCCTTATTTTATAAACACTGTAAAGTTTTATTTATGAAATTCATTATTTCGAGTTCGAACCGAAATCACACCACTTTTCAAACCGGGTACCTACGCCAAAACCTGTGTAGTGTGTGGTTATAAAACCGGTGAACGATCCGTTCCCGCGAGATTTGGCAAGAGAAGCTTGTTCTACTGCCGTTGCGTGATGGGATCACTCGATCGCGTTCAAGAATACCAATATTCGCTTCACGAGAGAACCACGCACTTCTTTCTCATGCGATCGCCGTTCCCAGTTTCGAGAATTGGGCTCCAGTGGAGTAGAGGACGAACTAAATTTAAATTTGTATAGGCGCTATTTACCTAGTCTGGACATATTTCAATATTTGTTTATATCAAACATAGCTGAAGTATTAAATGCCCAAATTTCAATTTAGCGATAAAATGAATTGTAATCAGTGAGTAGCATGAAAATAGAAGATTTTTCACATTTTACTGCCCTTAAGTGGGAAATATAAAAAATGTGGTCACCTTTTTTTGAGTTCAAATAAAGTTTCGATAAAATGGTAAAACGTTACTTATAAAAAATGTTATCAATTTTTTTGACCATCAGCCCTTGCATACATAAAGGAACAAACGGCATTCGGTCTTCGGTCATAACTTATTGTAGACCCACCAAATTCGCACTAAATAGATGAAAGTAAAATTTTTTATAATTAATTTGGTTTTGCTTCAAAAAATCTCACTATAACTTTTTTTGAAGGTGTTTAAGTTGTTTGCTTTTAATTTTTTAATGCTTTATAAGTGGTATAAATTTTAGTTCCAACATATTCATAACTTTTTGTTGCTATCTGTTAAATTATGTAAAAAGGGCTCTTGCCAGATTCTAAATAAATTTTTCTTCAGACGTCGGAGAGACTTCTCTGAGGCTGTATTTTACTCGTAAAGAGTTATATTACAACGTACAGTAAATGAAAATTTCATTACTGACTGACCAAAGAAAGTTATGGTACCATTTTCGTGAAACAAAACTAAACGTTTTTTTTTTCGATTTTTGAGTAAACTAATGAACGGATTTTAATGTAGTTTATCTGATATCATAGGTATTTTTAATACTTGAAAAAAAGGATCAAACTTTTTTTCAATAGCATCAACGGTTCGACAATTATGCACAAAAAACGAGCTTTCGCACTTTCTTTAATTATTTATAAATAATTGTTTATAAACAATATTCCACAGCCGGAAATCGAGCACAATCCATTGTCTCAATATTCTGACATCCTTCCGAACAACTTCCAATAAACTTTTACCATTATATTTTTAGTGCCCGAAACAGGCCTTTTAAAATGGAATCTGACTGGACTCAAAATACGCTGCAGCCCGCTTACAGGTACAAACCAATATTTATCATGGGCCAAAATAACATGTGACTAAAAATAACAGATACTTGGAACAGTCACATATGGAACCTGTGCCTGCCTGTGACTGAAAAATACTGGTTTGTGTCATCCCTAGTTGTCAGGCGATATTGCTGCAGCTATTGCCAAAATTTGAGTTAGTTCAGGCAGGCAAATATCTATGTGTGCGAGTGAGACAGCATCTGATCTCTCAAGGGCCTTAGCTGAAAGCTTTATGCAGAAGCAGCGCCACCTCTGCTTAGCTTGTCATTTGCGTGAAGGTTACAGTTAGAAGGTTGCAAACAATAACACGCCAGGCGATTTTTGCTCAAATTTTCTATTTAAAAGGGCAATTTTCTACTGTGGACCTTATGAGCAAGTGGTAGAACGACTTTGATGGCTTTTCCTCAAACCAATGTCCAGCGAGGTAAGTTAGTTCGGAAATGAGCGACATTTCCTTTCCAGCTAACCTCAATCTGGATTACCAGAGCCCTTGAGGGGCCTGGTGTACTAGAAGGTCATCTGATATCTAGGCTCTATGAATATTACCTCAAAGTCCTTGTAAATTTGAGCCCGGACGGTTAATTCAATAATAATTGCAAAAAGTAAATGCGATGAGCAAATCCTACTTGAAAAGTAGTTTTTTTGCAGAATTGACGCGCAATAAAATTCTGGAAGAGCTACAGATTCAAAAGAAGCAGCTGCTGTTGAAGCAAGGATCTACGCCCTCGATCAACTCTTCACCCCTGTCCAGCGTGGCACCCAGCCTAAACCCAGAGGGGCATTCGATGAACTCTCATCAACAGCGCGCTGCTTTGCAAACCGCTCACGCTCAATCGATGGGCTTTTTCATATCCCAAGACTCGTTGTTTGGAAACTTGATCTTGCCCGTGCTGCCACGCTTCGACCAAAAGTAATGTTTCCCTGCCTGAGGCTGCGGAAAATTGCGGAACGTTTGCAGAGCATTGAGGAGTTTGAGCGCCCCAAGGTCCAGTTGGAACAGTATGTAACTCCCGCCCATCTTGGCTCGCATATGCTGCACACTATTCAGGTACCTACTGGCAGATTTGGTTAATTTACCGACCCGACACTTCGTTATTCAAGTACTCGTTCTAGTCGTTAGATTTACGAAAGTCTTGGATTTGGAAACTACCGTAATCAAATGCAGACCTACCTACATGACTTACTTAGTTTCGTACGTATGATTGTAACTTGCGTTTGCAATCGACTACAGAGAAACTTTTTAATACGGACTTAGTTGAGTCCCGGTTGAGTAACGAGTACTCGAATAACGAATCGTTACGGCTTTCCCACCACTAGTGCAGGCTTTAACGGGCTGTTTGATCAGGCTCAATATGGGGATCTGCGCGGCAAACTTGTAGCCGATCTGGGCTGTGGATGCGGCGCCTTATCAATAGGAGCCGCCTTGTTGGATAGCTATTTAGTGGTGGGGTTCGAGATCGACGAGGACGCAATTGAGGTTCTCCAGAAGAACATTGAAGATCACGAAGTGACTACCATTGACGTGGTGCAGTGCGACGCGCTCAATATCCCTGAGAGGTTGGCTGGAGGCGGCAATCGCTCCTCCAACCGAGAATCACGCTGATGTTTCTGTTTCAGGTTCCACAAGCAGTTCGACACCGTGTTGATGAACCCACCCTTTGGAACCAAAAACAACCAGGGCACTGACTTGCGGTTCTTGGAAGCAGCAGTGAAGCTCTCGAAGAGTTCGGGAACTGTGTACACCTTGCATAAAACCAGCACCAGGTAAGGCCTAGAACGGCGCTTATACATTGTCAAACAAATGGCGCAACGCATGCTGCTACGGCTCACTTTTCAAAAATGTTTGAATTTTTTGGGCAGAGTTTGCTCTAATGCATAATTGTTTATTGCAGAAGCCACGTACTGAAGCACATCAGCTCCTTGGGGGCCAAAGGTGAAGTGCTAGCGGAGCTACGCTATGATCTACCTGCCACCTACAAGTTCCACAAGAAGGCTTCAGTAGACGTTCAAGTGGACTTTTACCGAGTGTTGTGTTGAGTGCAGCAGTTAACAAACCGAGACAATGAGTGCGGAATTCAGTCGCGATCACTGCAAAATTGCAGTGGTCAAGATCCTGCAAACTATCGGATGGCATTCGATCAACACCACGCCTTTGGAAGTGCTCACAGACATTATGTCGAGCTACATAAGGGAGCTGGCGAGAGACACCAACAACTATGCGAACGAATTCGGGCAAACCGAGCCCAATCTCGATCATCTGGGCCTGGCGTTCCAGCAAATGGGCGTCAATCTGGGCGAGTTGGAGGAATATGTTACGTACGTGAACTTCTTGCCGCCCCCCCATCCGGTGCCCAAGTTTCCCGTGGCTAAAGAGAGCAATTTAAACTTCCTCAAACCTGGCAGCAAGGAGGTGGTGACACGGCCGGTCCATATAAACGAGCACCTGCCCCCCATGTATCCTTTGCTGGAGGAGCAAAGCGAGCAACTAGCCGATAATCAGCCGGTCAAAGACGGTAACGACGGCGCGCCAGAGAGCGATTCCCATCCGTTCAAAAAGCCGGCCGATTTGTCGCCGGAATTCAGGCGAGTGAAGCGGGAGGACGAAGGAGGCAGGCCGACACGGGAAATCAGCAGTGTGATGATGACAACATCGGGGTTTTTGTCGCCGGCCCGTGAAGGTCGACTGCCGGAAGCAAAAGCGCCGGCACCGCCGCCCGAGCCGCCCAGAGCGCCGACGCCCCCGCCGCCAGGCCCTCCCGTTCCCGAGCTAGTACTGGTAAAGAAAAAACCCGAAAAGAAAAAGGACAAGCCGCTCAAAGAAGCCAAATCAGGCAATGAGGAGAAGGCGCCAAAGAAACCCGGCAACACAAAGGACACGCCGAAGCGTCCCAAAGCAACGCCCAGCATGTTGCCGCCGCCCGGCTTTTGCAGGCCTTCCTTTCCAGGTCTGCCGCCTCCAGCGCATTTCATGTCCGCCCAGTTTCCCGGCGACATGAAACTGCCGCCCCTAGTCGCCCACGGGCCCAAACCGCAAATCGTCAAGCCCAGCGCTTTAAACAAAGTCCTAGCGGCCGCCAAGGCCAAAACCGAGAAACTCAACACTACGATCACTGCCATTCCCGTGAAGGCCGAGCCAAAGTACCAAATCCCCATGCATCAGCCAGTTGATAAACTGCTGGCGGAGCCCGATAAACAGAAGGTTAACATTTTGCGAAAGATCTCCAATGTGAAGGAGAAGCACGAGAAGAGCAAGCAGAGCCAGCTGGTGCAACAGGCGCAGGATATTGTCAGCAAAATTAACTTGTCGAGTGATATTACCATTGAGCCGATCCATCCGCGGCATAATTTTGTCGCAAAATCGGAGCCCTATTTTGATGACGGTTCTCCTCCGGGCACGCCACCTACTCCAAGGACGCCCGAGATACTAGCGCATCATAGTCCGTCACCGTCGGCCAAGGAGAAGAGGAAACGCAAAGTGAAACCCGAACGGATGCCCAGACCTAAGAAACCGAAGAAACAACAGCAACCGCCTATTCCGCACCATCACTTCATGGACACGGACGTGATGGACATGAGCATCGGGCGACCAAAGACCCCAGACACCAGCTTGAAGATGCGGAAGACCGCACCGTTTCCCACAATGCCGTTCCCCTTTCCTCTGACAAAGTTTGGAGGGCCCGGGCTTATTCCATCGCTAAATTTTCCATTCGCGCCCACCATTTCTGACTTTACCAATACGTACTTTCCCCCCATTATGCCGCCCAAACCCAAGCCGGAACCGAAGGTTTCGCCCAAGCCTAAGGAGGTGAAAACTGAGCCAGCGGAGGCGGCGCCTGCATTGCGCCCGCCCGGGCTTGCGCCCCCGCCTCTGGCCCAACCCATCAAGCTGGAGGAGGCGGAAGGCGGCAACGCCCCCCTGGAGATGGCGTTCAAAAAGTCCAAGGAGCATAAAAAGGATAAGAAGGACAAGCTGAAGAAGAAGAGCAAAAAGGAGAAGGTGAAGGACAAGAGCGAAAAAAAGAAGCTCAAGGAGGCCAAGAAGGAGAAGGTGAAAATCAAGAAGGAGAAAAAGAAGAAGCAGCAACTCCCCAAGCAGGAGCCTGGGGAGCAGCCGGAGGCCCAACCAATTCCCAGGATCCTCCTGAAAGTGGACTCGCCGTCGCCCAGGCCGGAAACGCCCGACGACTCCTTGAAGAAACTGAACATTAAGCCCATAGTGAAAAAGGAGGACGTATCGCCCGAGCGCCAGCCTAGAGAAACGTCGCCCGGGCTGGCGCAGATCTCCGCCCTGGTGATCGGTCCACCCAAGCCGAAAAATCCCCAGTCAGAAAAAAGTCTGGTGCTGCCGGAAAGGGCGCCGGTTGAAGCCGCAACGCCTTCAACGGCCGTGTCACCTTCCCGACCGCCAGGACGGCCCCGGATCCATCCTGTTAAGCCCAAGCCGGCGCCCAAGCCCAAGAAGGTGGAACAACCGTTCCTGAAACGGGACGCCGAAGGCAACGAGGTGTGGATTTGTCCGGCGTGCGGCCAACAGGACGACGGTCGCCCAATGATTGGCTGCGACGGCTGCGATGCGTGGTATCATTGGGTGTGTGTGGGGATTCAGGTGCCGCCCGACGAGAACGAGAATTGGTACTGCAAACCCTGCCTGGCCAAGAAGAACGAGGATTTGCAGGACAAAAAAAAGAAGCGCAAGAAGAAGGAGAAGCCCCATTAAAACCGGGGGAGGGTGATGAGTGGAGATAACCCAATGAACTTTTTATTTGAGTCGTCGACTTGGGCTCTATTGAGCTCCAAACTGTCCGGGCCGGATCTTTTTACTAGATAAGCAAATTTATTGGTCGCAGACCCAAAATGATAGTTTAGTTAGGAGCACTTACAGTGCTTTAGTTAATCAGTTACATACATACTTTATTATTGTCTTCTGGTTTTATCCAAGCTATACATATGGGATTTTTTTAGCAAAACGACTTTCACTCGAACCTGATGCCCTGCGCCAATGGTAGCTCCTTCGAGTGGTTAATCGTGATGGTGGACCGGCGCATGTACTGCTTCCAAGAGTCGCTCCCCGATTCGCGGCCGCCCCCCGTGTGTTTTTCGCCGCCAAACGCGCCGCCTATCTCCGCCCCCGAAGTGGGGATGTTCACGTTCACCAGGCCGCAGTCGGAGCCCTTCGGGCCGATCCACTGCACCCCAAAGGAACGTCAATTCTTTTGCAATCCCTACCTGCATTGTTATTTGTTACCTTGAATATGCTGGAGATGTTCTGCGTGAATATGCTGGACGAGAGTCCTTGGGGCACTTCATTGTTCCAGCCAATGGCCTGTTCCACACTGCTGGCTTTCAGCACGTATAAAATGGGGGCGAAGCATTCAGTGTGCACCAGGTCATGATCGTGTGCGATTCCCGTCACTATGGTGGGTTCCACAAAATATCCCGGCCTCTTAAGGACCTGTTGAGTGTTTTTCAGCTTTTAATTCAGTATCGTGCCCAAAGGGCTCGGCACAAAACACTCTTTGGAGGCTGATGCAGAAGTTATGCGTTGCGGCCTTCGGGCACGACACAGTTTGAAGCCAATACACGCAAAATTAAATCTGAAGACAGGGTTTTCTGCGCTTAACTCAGGGTCGTGCCCGCAGCTCTCGGCACAACGCACGCACTGAAGACTGCTGAAGAAGTTGTGCCGAGCTCTTGGCCACACGGTTTTACCTGGCCGCCCAATTCAACAGTGCCTCCAGCTTGCCGAATCAACGCCAGGGTTTCCTTGTACTGCTTCACTGCATTCTGGGAATGCACCGGACCAATAAGCACGTGCTCCCCCAGCGCGTCCCCAATCCGCCCCATCACCTGCGCGTACGCCGTTTTCAGCTTCTGCAGGACTTCGTCGTAAACCTGCCAACATTGTCCAACCCTGTTATATGAAAGTCTTCGATGGTTGCAACCAATCCTACCGCTTGATGCACGATGAGCCTTCGCGTGGTCGTGCAGCGTTGCCCAGACGTGCCGATACAGGCAAACAAAATGGCAGGAATTACCATCTTCAGGTCGGCATCCTCTGCCACTATCAGAGCGTTGTTGCCGCCCAATTCCAGCAGACTCTTTCCAAAGCGCTTCTGCACCTCCACGGCCACTAGCCGCCCCACTTGGCAACTGCCAGTGAACGAAAGCAGCTTAATGCGCCGGTCTGAAGCCAGGGCTTGGCCAATGTCCGCGCCGCCAGTACACAAAGTGGCGATCGCTCCTGGTAGGTTGTTCTTCTCCAGCACGCCTGCCACGATTTTGGTCGTGGCGATCGAGATAAGGGGCGTGGTTTCGGCGCCTTTCCAGAAAACCGTGTTGCCGCACACCTGGAACGATTCCAAAAAGCCAATTCAATATCAATAAAGGAAAAGTATAAGGAAAAATCATTGAGTTTACATATTTTTTACACGTATTACAGTCGCGGGTGTGCGTGTAGTGGCCAGTTCGGATTCTTCGGAACCACATCGTCTACAAACGCCGCACAGTGGGGTAATTGATATTAATTTCTGATCAAAATTGTTTTTTAATCAGATTTTTCTTAAAGCGGATTATACAGGGTGTCCCGTAAGCTCATGATCAAAAGAGTACTGCGATATTCTTTGGACCAAAAGTCCAGTGGGCGAAGTGATCTCCCGTGCTTTCCGACTAAGAATGATTCAACTGCTGGATTCCCAGTCGTATTTATGCCGCCCAGCCGTGTGTGCTCATGCGTGGGGGATGGGTGGGGGTTCCAACGCTTCGGCGCACATGCTGTTTGGCGCAAAACGCGCTTCCAATCTGGATTGAGTGCCGTAATTTCTTCTTTTCTGTTGAAATTGTTTTGGTGTTTAAATATTTCGATGGCCTCCCTGGTGAGTCTCGGGTAGTCTCTTTCAGATTGGTGCAGAATGTCAACTTCGTCGAAGCGTATTTGGTGGCCGTCTAGTAGTGCGTGCTCCGCTACTGCTGATTTTTCCGTTTGTCCTAATCTGCAACTTCGTTTGTGCTCCGTGATCCTAGTGTTTATGCTTCGTTTTGTGGTGCCGATGTATGCTCTTCCACAG